CCCCCTAACTTTAACCAGCCCTAATATAGACAGTGAGGATCACAGGGTTTGCACGTAGAATAGTTGAGATAATAACTCTGTCATTGCAAAAGCAGGTGTCTGGGAAGAAGGAAGATTTTAAACTGATGAACCCAGGGAAGGCACTATGATAGTCTAGGACCTGAAAGCCTCAGAGCTGAAGATGTTTCATTCTCTGAGGGTTTCAGACCCCTGAGGGAGAAGGGCTGCGCAAATGGTAGACGGTGTGGCTAAATACATGTGTATACAAAGCATCATCTCTGGACTGAATTAGTGATAACCACATATACCGAGCAATTCCCATGCCAGGCACTTTGCAGCTATTACCTTATTTAATTTTGACCACAATCCCAGGTTATAGATACTACTATTAGTATTTCCATTTTCCAGATGAATACTAAAATGGGCTTACAGAGGTAAAGTAATTTGCCCAAGGACATGTAGTTACGTAGAGATGGAGTGAGATTTAAACCTCAATTCTTAATCATAAAAACTGGTATATATATATATAATATGTGTGTGTGTGTGTATATATATATATATATATATTTTTTTTTTGTTGTTGTTTGTTTTGTTTTGTTTTGGAGTTGGAGTCTCACTCTCTCGTCCAGGCTAGAGTGCAGTAGCGTGATCTCAGCTAACCGCAACCTCCACCTCCCTGGTTCAAGCAATTCCTCTGCCTCAGCTTCCTGAGTAGCTGAGATTACAGATGTGTGCCATCATGCCTGGCTAATTTTTATGTATTTTTAGTAGAGATGGGGTTTCACCATGTTGACTGAAGACCTGTATTTTTAATTACCTTATAGTATTTTCTACTAATAGTTGGATTCTGAGAATTTTTTGATATTGAAAAGAGATTTTTATATTCAAAAAGATGGAATGGCAAATAAGTCTTAATCTGTGCACTAAAGTCAATTAATGGGTAGTAGCCACCTGTGTGGAGAAGGGTGGGAAGTCTATCCCCAGGCCCAGTGAGACAGGCTGCTATGGCCAATTTATTGTGGCTCGTGTGGAGAAAGGTAAATGTGGTAGAATGCTGTGTACTTGCAGGCTTTGTTAAAATTATATTTCAAGAAGAGTCTTAGAATTAATATAGGTCAATCTCTTCAGTTTATCAAAGATAAAGCTGCAGCCCAACATGGGGTAGTTTCACTCATTTGATATTATATGTCTAGCCTCCAGGGACAGCTACATTTAGAACCCAGGTCTCCTGGTTCCCAGCCCTGTGCCCTTGTCTCTAGCACTATGGGTAAATCCAAAATAGTCCTTTTAGAGAGTGTTCTGATGAGAGAAGGTGACTCTCAAGTATTCCTATACTTTAAAAATGGCTTGAAAGTAAAAGACTGTCAACTAGATTCTGTCAGCATTATAAAGCTTCTCTCTGCAGGAAGTTGGATTAATTCTTGTAAACTTCAGGATATCAGACTGCTAACGTTTCAAGACAGAATCACTGCAGAGTTCCCTGGGGACATCAAGTAGTTTGGTTCAACATTTACAGAGAATCTACTCTGGACGTAGAGAAGAGGGTACAATAGCTGCTCTCCAAAACTGAGGGGCTTAGAGAGAGACATGGATAGAAATTGAGAAGCAAACTCAGACTTCTCTATTTTGGGAGGCCGAGGCGGGTGGATCACGAGGTCAAGAGATCGAGACCATCCTGGTCAACACCGTGAAACCCCGTCTCTACTAAAAATACAAAAAATTAGCTGGGCATGGTGGCGCATGCCTGTAATCCCAGCTACTCAGGAGGCTGAGGCAGGAGAATTGCCTGAACCCAGGAGGCGGAGGTTGCGGTGAGCCGAGATCGCGCCATTGCACTCCAGCCTGGGTAACAAGAGCGAAACTCCGTCCCAAAAAAAAAAAAAAAAAAAAAAAAAAAAAAGAAGTTGGAATCAAAGACACTGATGCTATTTTACACCCCTTGGGACACACTGTAGTATTCAGAGAGAGGAGACCTCTTGGGCTGCGTGGATGTTCCTGGAAATCAGCACACAGTCAGTTCATGGTCAGGTAAATGAGGCCATTTATATGGGTGATCATCACCTCATTGTTGGCTTCATTCACTGGCTGCTCCCCCATCTCCCCGCTCTTGTCATTCTCCAGACTAATCCATGGGTACCATTATTATCCCCATGTTCATTAACAGCCAAACAGCAGCACTGGTTCCATACTCCATGGGTGGAAAAGTCTTCAGCAGATAACCAGCATATCACATGCATAGCAGGCTCCTCAAGGTAGGCTGCAATTTTGAGAACTTAGGACAATTAACTTCCAATTTTTCCTTTAAATATTACATGGGGCAAGTGTGATCTATATTGCTTAATGGTCTGCCTTAAATTACATATGTGAACCCACTTATTTTTCTTGAAGTCTGAGGCAGAGCACCCTTATGCTCTGGGCCTTTTCTTGGTCTACCTTAATCCTTTTTAGCTGTTAAAATGACTAAATAGGCCGGGTATGGTGGCTCATGCTTGTAATCCCAGCACTTTGGGAGGCTGAGGCGGGTGGATCACGAGGTCAGGAGATCGAGACCAACCTGGCCAACATGGTGAAACTTCGTCTCAACTAAAAATTCAAAAATTAGCCAGGTGTGGTGGCTTGTGCCTGTAGTCCCAGCTACCTGGGAGGCTGAGGCAGGAAAATGACTTGAACCCAGGAGGCAGAGGTTGCAGTGAGCTGAGATAGTGCCACTGCACTTCAGTATGGGCAACAGGGTGAGACTCCATCTCAGAAAAAAAAAAAAAAAAGGACTAAGCAAGTATCTGGCTAACCAGCGGAATTGTCACAAAATGATTTTTTTCTAAAACCACACTGATTTCAGTCTGTCATTGCATACACACATTCTGGAGGCATCCTCTATACATAGTGACTGCTAAGGTTGCTAATGTCTTATAGAAGCGTTGGAGACACAGATGAGTTTCTCTTCTTTCTTGTGCTTGTCCTTGATCCAGTGAAATGTCCTTAGCTTAGCAAAGGATGTCCCAAGGGAGCCATGGCTTTAATGTTCTTATAGTCTGTTCTGCTACCACTCTGGCCATGCCCCTGAATGCAGGGATGAGAGAGCAGAAAGATTGAACACACTGAGCCAGCCACTGTCCTTTCTGTATGTACTGATGGATGAAGACTATTAGAACAACATAGCACATTAAATGTAACCCGAATGGATGGATGCAAAGAAAGCTAATTCAAATTCTGAAAACCATGGCAAGCCAATAGGAAGCCAATTTTTGTAGAGGAGCAACAGCTTTCATAAAGGGACATTTTGTTTCTTGAAACTGTGAATTTGTTTCTAAAATTGTGGACAGAATTATTGGTCATGTGGAACCAAAATCCTTTGATGTTCACTGCACTGCATTGAATCTAGCACAAATATATTTGTAAGCGTAGTGACCTTCTGCTTATAATGAAGTTGTTCTGTGGGCCAAAAAAATGAGTTCATGCTGAGAGGCCCTCTGCATTCTGTGATTCATGTATGCATTTATCCGGACAACGGAACTTGGCCGGAAAGCAAATTGTACGCAGGGTGCCCTTTCTCTTACATGTCAGTCTTCTGGTTCTCAATTGCATTTTCAAATTTAGGGAACCACAGACTTCTTCATGGAGGGCTGTAAATCATTCCATGCATTTTGAAATTGTTGGAGGAGTGCACGAAGAATATTGAACAGGAAAGGGTTTTCAGAATTTATCCAGGAAACCTTAGCTGTTAGAGACTGAGAAGGTAGAAAAGTACATGGGTGGAATCCAGAGGCTGGAATAGGGAGTGTCTTCAGAATCTTCCAGCCCAAAACTCTTATTTACAGTTGAGGAAATGGAGGTACAGGGCGGTTCAATGATTGCTGAGGTTACACTGTTAGACCTGGACTAAAGCCCAGTTTTCCAACTCTCAGTTCATGGTAGTTTCTACTGCTCCTTTTCTCCTCTCTGACTTTTTCTCCCAACAAATTTACCTCTTAAATTAAGGATAAGAATAAGGAAGAGAATTTCTCAAAATATAGGTCACAACCATTTATGTCGGAGTCACCTTGGATTCCTTTAAAATGAAGATTTCTGGGTTTCATCCAGACCTGCCAAATAAAATTGAGACCTGGATATCTGTATTTTCATAAGCTCCTCAGTGATCCTTACACATGTTGTGTTTTTAGAACCATCAATCTAGGGTCTATACATAGGCAGGAGGCACATGGCAGGAAATGACCACTAACTTTTAACATCACTGAATTTATCTTGAAAATATAGTCATTCATTGCTCCCTGCTGTTCTTAGTGCCAGTCATGTAGTGAGCTGAATGGAGCTAATGATGGTTCAAAGAGTAATTATCCCAGCTTTCCTGTTTTTCTAATACCTGCTCTTGGCATAACTTTACCTATTAATATTAGCTTTTTTCCCCTCAAGTGGCAATATTTATCTGCTGTACTTGGTGGAAGGTAAATGAATGCTTTGTAAGTATCCTCAAATATACAGGCCCACTCCAGACTCTGTTGATACACAGTACCTGGCCTCAAAATATCTTGCAATGAGAAGACAAATAGTTTAGTCAGAGCCTCAATTACCTCTCCATGAAGATAATTATTACTTCTGTCATTTAAGTGAAATTTTAGTGCATTTCTTATAGCAATAAATTTAAGAGCATATTTATGCTGTCCTTGCTTCTTTTCATAGCATAGATTTAAAATTGCATTTCTGTGGGAGTGTATCTCTGAACTATCCTTCAGTATGAATTTGGCTGGTAATAAATTAAATAATACCACAATCTCATTTTCTCACACAGTACCTAGTACACTTAAAAGAAAACAAAACAAACAAGCAAAATCCTAGTGACCAATTTACTCTGCACACAGGAGAGTTCTGTATTTCATGGCATGCTGGTAACCGAGCAGCTCTGCAAGATTACCGAACTATCAAATGTGTTGTAAAAATGTGATGTCATGGCACTTTGGAAGTCTCATTACAGAGTTTAACAGGTTTTGTGGTATATTTTGCAGCATGCCCTTTCTGACAAGGCATGTGTGAAAGCCTTTGACCCAAAGACAACTTGCTTACAGGAATGCCTTATCACCACCTTCCAGGAAGCCTACTTTGTTTCAGAAAGTTTTGAAGAAGCCAAAGAAAAGATGAGGTAAACTTGTTTTTCTCCTACCTAGAGAAAATAACTTTTTATTTTTCTGTCTCTATTCTTTCCTTCTATCTATCTCTTGTACCAATGAGGGTTGATCACATCTCTCTCTATTTCTGTTTATTCTGCAGGGACTTTGCAAAATCAATTACCCGTCCCTTCTCCGTATACTTCAATCCCTATACACAGAGTATTGAAATTCTGAAAGACACCAGAAGTATTGAAAATGTGGTGCAGGACCTTCGCAGTGACTTGAACACAGTGTGTGATGCCTTAAACAAAATGAATCAGTATCTGGGGATTTGATGCCTGGAACTGATGTTGCCAGTGTAATCTTTTTGGGGCTTAGCAGCAATCCAGTCAATGTCATATAACACAAATAACCTTCCGTGTCATGGCTTGGCAAATAAGCATGCAATTCTGTATATCTATACCATCTTGTAACCTACTGTGTTAACATATAAAACAACATAAGAAACTCAATGGCAGATAACCACTCATTGTATGAAAGAGTGTAATATGTTTAAATGTCTTTAAAAGATTTGACATTCCTGCTTAGTGTCCTTAACCAAAATGCATCTACTTAAAATTTGTAACAAATAGCCCTTTTAGGAGTCTGTCTTATGCCCTTTTCTTTCTCAGATCTAAGCCTTTCCTTTGTTCATTAGACAAAACGAAAAAACAGGGAAACTGTTTCTGTTTTCAATAGTATCAGTGTTTCACAGCATTGCTTGAGATAAACCCAGAATTTTAGGAAACTTCCCATCACAATAACAAAAGATTCAATATTCTGTTTCAAAAACTGTTGAGGTAACACAGCAGGTGGAATGATTTTTAGGTTGAGTATTTATACAATGCAAAAAAAGACCTTTTTACAAATGGAACATGTAGGTTGCATTGACCTTGTAGAACCTGAGTTATGGCAAGCTTCCTGAAGTATTTTGGAGGATAGTACTTCCAGAAAGGACATTAGGTAAGACTAAACAGTGGGCAATCAATCTCCGGACTATGAATTTTATGCTGGAATAAAGTAAATCATCATTATCAGGTGATTAAACATTTTTTTTCTGGTCAGAGGAGAATAAAATCTCAGCTATAAAGATCATCTTAGATTTCAGAGATGTGGAAGTTGAGTCACAAAGAAGTTGTGATTTGCCTGAAGCGGCACAGTTAGTTGTGCACTAACAGTCATAGTGCACTGCACTTTCCTTTTGTTTTGCTGATAAATCTGTCTGGTGCCTGCATGTGTTTCTGTCATCCAAGATAGGAAAGTTCTTTTTGGTATGTGCATGTGTTAGTATGTCACCGGAGATGGAAAATAATGCCTGTCCGAACTAATGTTTATCAGTAAACAGAAGTTGGCTGTGGTCAAGGGTTGCCCACAGTATATATGTTGTTTCCCCTCATAGCTGAAAATCAGGCCAAATCTATGGAAGGTTTTCCACTTTCCCAAAGTTTTGGCAACTTTGGGTAAACAGTAGTGACACAGCATAAATTTTTGGTGGCCTTTGCAGTAAAAGATGAAATTAAGTGGTTAGGTGAACAAATAGAAAACTGCTGAGAGTGAATGAATTTCTTCAGATTCCCTCACCAAACATAACCACTGTTCTTCCGAGTCTGCATTTGGTAGTACAGAACAGTGGATCGGGGAAGGAGGGGGCAAGAAAACTAGAGAAGAAAAAAATGACAAAATAGCAATTTAAAATATTTAAAACTTTTAGCAATTTAAAATATTTACTTGAGCCATTTCCAAAGATGTTCTTTTAGAAAGAAATTACACATAATTTCAAACTAATTCATACTTTATATGGAGCCCACTAAGGGTCAGAAATCTTTGGACTAAATATATTCAGGAAGAACATGAGAAAGAGCTAAAAGACACATCAGGGAGAGATCAAACTAAAATGAAAACCCAGAGGTTTGAAAATTGGTCGTCTTAACTGTTGAGGATCTTTCCTCTCTGAAACATTTTCAGAACAACTGAATTCTGAGAAATAAATTGGTGGATAGAATGTGAGAATCACAAAATATAAATGTTATTCCAGGTGGAGGGAATAGTGCCTTGAAAAATTATTGGTGGTAGAAAAATGATGAACAAGCTAAATCAAATTTAAAAGATCTAGATAGAACAAGCAGTTATATATTTTGATAGTTTCATGGATCCATAAATATGTAGTTTCTTATATCTTGCTTTGCTAACTCTAGATGACCCTGAATAAGTTACTTATAAATTAGAATCCCAAATCATAATCCAGAATAGCATATCCCTAAATTTTCAGAAGTGGTTGCTGAATTTTCTCAGAGAAGAAAATTGGCTAAGAAATGCTCAATATCTGCCTTTGGTGTTGTTTTTATAATTTGGTGTTGCTTTAGACACAAGTCCTAGAGTTCTGTCATATATATATATTTTTCATTAAAAAACCCCTGTAAGTAGCCATCAAACTTTCCCCTTCCAGCCCCATGAGATTGGAACATCTTAATTAAATATAGTTGAGAGAGAATTATATTTAATTGTAAACAAATTCCCTCAACAAAAATAGCATTTCAGGTGTCTTCTGCATGGCTTGTAGTGGAATCCAATTTTCTAATATGTGCAAAATCTATCTTGTTTCAAAAATAGAAGAGATGCAAAGTAAATGGGCTTTCCCACAGAGCTTATATAGGTGTCATACAAGGAAGTGGAATCACTTGATTTTTTTTAGATTTGTTCTCCATTTGGAATAGCAGTAACCGTGGTTTTCCCCTGTGAAACAATGGAATCATGGTTTTCATTTGTTGTGAGCATTTAACATGCAAATGCCATTACAGCTAATGGTGGGAAAAATTCTATAAAATTTAATAGCCATCATAGGAAAAGTGTTGGCAGAAAAATTCCCTGTAAGGAAACAGTGTAACAAAATAATCACAGCCAGATTCTTGTCATATCTGATACCTGCTCAGTGTAACCATTTATCTCAATTATGCTTCATGACTTAAAGTTAAATTAAATAGATCCAAGGGCAATTATAAATTTAAAGACACTTGCTCACTGTCATCTCGCTGTGAGTTGTTACTTTATTATCACTTTGCTGCTGACTTCTGTAATCAGCTAATCAGAAATCAACACAAAATTCCTGGCAGGACCAGGTTGCTTATGTGCCACACTTTGCAAAAGATAGCCAAATATGATTAGTCCAGTTTTATTCTTGAAGCATTTTGTCTATTATGAGTTGGATAAGGCATATAATATATTCTTGAATGTTCATTTTTTTTGGCATAATCAGAGCATAATAGACTGTTAATAAATTATACCTTTTAAAAGTGGAAAAATTCAACTTTTGACCTGAGATTTCTTTTCTTTTCTTTTTTTTTTTTTCACATTAGTGGTGGTAGTTGTGAGACTCGGTTTTCTGACTTAGTCCCATTTATTTACTGTGTAATTTACAAATGATGCTTTATGGGCATGATATATCTGTGCTTGTCTTGCTTGCTTATAGTAAATGGTCCTGAGCCTAATGATTGTAAAATATTGCAACATTTACCAACATGAAAAGTCTACAATGAAAAACAGTGTGCTTTAATGTGAAATCAAATAGAAATACAGAGTTTCATTTTCAAATGGAGTCATGGCTCGCATCACCTCATTTTCTTCATTTGAGGAGGAAAACATTAACACAAGATGTAGTTGTCCTCCAATTCATTTGATCTAATTTTCAACTTCTAAAGAATCAAGCTCTGATGTTTATTCTCACAAACCTGTCTTACTTACAATGAAGAAGAAAGCAGTCCAGAGTTTTCTGACGTATCTGAGTTTTTTTTTCTTTTAGGAAATAATAATTATGCAAATCTTCATGTTCTGGGGAGAGTTAAGGGAATTAAAAATGGGAGACTGCTTCTTGTAATACTAAAATTGCAAATGTTTGAAATAAAATCAGTTCTAGAACATAAAATGGTGGTTCTTTATAATGTGACTTGCAGTTTCAAAACATTCATACAGTTTCTTAGAACATGTCAGGCACAGTATCAGCATTGTTTTAGACACTGAGGAGGTAAGGATGAATGAGGCAGAGGAGGCTTACACCCACTTTGAATCTACATTCTAGAGGCAGATACAGGCAAAACAAACAAACAAACAAAAACCAGATGAGTTGAAATCACAGCAAGTTTTATAAAGAAAATAATCGGGATGATATGATAAAGAGAAATGGGGAGATGGTATCAGGGATCCTGGAAAGGCCTTCCTGAGCAGGTGGTATTTTACCAAAAACCAGGGATGAAAAGGAGCCAGACCTGAAGAGGGCCATGGTTAGAGTGTTCTTGGAAGAGGAAACAACAGGGACCAAAGGCGCCAAGGCAGAAATTGGGTTGATGTGTATGAGCAAGTGACATATTATCCGTAGGTGGAATGGAATTATATGAGGGCAGCATGGAAGATGAGGATGAGATAATAGTACAGGGTTCCATAAGGGGTCAGGTGCACTCTCCATGCAGTGGAAGGTTGGAAGGGTTGTAAGGAAGACAGTGACAAGAGGGTTGTAAGGAAGGCAGTGACAAGGTCTGATTTACGTTTTTAAGAGCTTACTCAGGCTTCTCTGCGTAAAGGGAGTGTAGTGGGGTTAAAGGTTGGATGTGGGAACAAGGGTAGAATTAGTGAAACCAATTTGGAAACCCCATTGCAATATTAGGGATCTGTGATATCAATATCTTGCGTGATCATGGTGGATGTTATTAAAAATTGTTGTAATTAAATAAGTTACAAAGTGAAGTGGGTGGGTACCATCAGACGAAAAACAGAAACTGGAATGATCTGTAGCCAGGTTGATTCTCATTTGACTGGAAAAGATGTCATCCAAACATATCCTGTGTCTTTCACAAATACATAAAGCTTCCTTTGACCAACATCATGTGAAACTTTCTCTGGCCAGCTTTTAAGGGAAAAAAATCTAGTTTGAAAAGCAAATGCATTTTTTTTTAATGAGTCACAGATACTGACAACAGAAGCAAAAATGACACCAAAAATGAGGTATTATTGATGAATGTTGGTGGTGCTGTCATATAGAGTAATTCCGGAAAAACAAAACAACAAAACTCTCCTACCTCTAGACAAACTGAATAGCTGTGTTCACTGTTCACTCTGGTTATTTCTATAGGAAGAAACCATTTAATGTTAGTGGATTAGTTAACTCTATTTCCACTCTGCTCTCCGCCTCCCATCTCCCCAAATGCATAGTTCAAATATCCCAGAAAAGGTTCACCTATTGCGATTTTGTCCTCTTTCCAAGAAGGATGGGTCTGGTGCAGCAGCTGGAAGTATATTTCCTTCTTCGGGAAGATTGCAGTGAGCCTGATGTTCAACCCAGGGGCATCTGTAGTTATGGTGCCGGCAAACAGCATTCTCATAATCCAGTCTGGATACAGTTTTTATAATTGAACAACAAAAACATCTGACAGATGTGGGCAGGATAATTTGAAGCTAGATGGCACAAAGAAATCAAGTTCATTTTCTGTCAAAATCAAATCTTTAAAAAACAGTACAAAACTAGTCCTTATTTTACAGGCTGAGAAAGATAATATTAATTACAAATAGGTGGGAGGAAGTTCCTGGTCCCTCCTTCACTCCTAGATCTCTTACAGTCTCCTTCCTTTTTAGCTTGTTCATTTCCATGGAACTAGCAAGACTGCTGATTCAGTAGGTCTGTTATTCCCAACGGTTTGCAAACCACTGAACACATCTAATGTACAGCTTGCCCAATTTTAGTGAACAGCTAACTTCACAGACGTTAATGAGGCCAATTATTGGCAAGTGAATTTGAAGTGAAGAACACATTAGGTTTGCCACTATAGCAGTTATTTGTTTATCTGGATTGATTGAGGCAAACTTTCTTTTGATCATTACATCTGATTGATCACTGCACATGGCATTATGAAAGAATGAGGTTTCCAAGTCAGATAGCTACTTGTAAGAAAAATCTCTACCTTGCAAGGGCAGAGCATGTTTCCCTATCCATTTCAGTGTGAAAGCCTAGCCATTAAATTGGAATGGATCCTAATTAGTCTCCTCTCAAATCTCTAAAACTTTTTGGTCTTTCCTGTTGAGCAGAACTTAAAAGAAGCCTAAATTTCTCCCTTGCCCATGTATAGTCGATATCAAAGAAAATAACTCACACAGTAATACTGCTGAAAATGAGTGCAGATATAGCAATCCTGATTTGAAGTGGCATTGGAAAGTATAATTTGATTCAACCAGCCAAATGATTACTGCAAGTACAGATCATCAGCATGGCCCACTCCAGGACATTTGAATTGGTGATGAGCTGACAGCTAATTGCCAGACTGAGTCTGCCTCTTGAGCTTCCGCCTGAGAACAGAGGGAAAAAGCCCCATAACTCCTACAAACTCCTAACCTGGATGGAGGCTACTTTTCCATGTTGGACATACGTCTTTTAGGATGATCGTCTCTCTGATCATACTGACCAGCTATTGTTAACCCAGTATCCATACCTTTATTGTCCCATAACTACACATAGTTTTCCTTTTGTGAATCCTGTCTCTGGCTTTTATTCCTTACCTTGGGTGGGGCTGATTCCACTTCTCAGTTCTAAGGGTGGGCTTATGACCAATGTTTAATCAATGAGTTATTATATTCTTCTGGTCACAATGATTGGTTCATGGGTAGGCCAGGATCTGAGTTGGGCCAATTAAAGCCAAACCCTGGATGTCGAGAAAGAGGTGTACTGC